GCTAACGCGCGGGCTAGTGACTGTGATGCATGTGTTACCACTCAGTGCAAGTAGTGTTATGTGTAAGGTGTTAATTGGACAGTTTAGTTGTTGCACATATGTTTGTTTTTATATGGTTGAGATGTCAAATACAAATAATGTGCAATCAAATGCTTAAACGTAAACACATTAACCACATAATTGTTTGGCAAGTACACAGGAAAATACACACACCACACAGAAATGTTTTATTGTAACTGCTATTAAAGCTGGTTACATGGTTGATGATACGGACTACAAAGTTAAGAATATAGAAAATCTGAATGGACTGGTAGGCTCGGGACGACTGATTAACCACTTGCTCGTAGCAACTAAATAATAATAGTACGTGCTTCGCAATGTTTCCACTGTGTGCGGACACAGAGTAATATTGCGTGGTTGTGAATCAGCTATTTTCTACCATGTTTGCACTCTGTGCAGGACGACGTAATAATTACGTGGGCTTGTGATCGGACGCTATGTGAACCAGATCGGTGTTCACGAGCACCCGTTACACTGTACAGCAATTGCAGACAGTTACCAAAAAAAAATCTGCCCATGATGAAAAATTCAACTTGTACATCTCATAAGGAAACTATGGCCAAATAGGCTACTGAATTATTTAACGTCATTATTACAATGGTTATTTCATCTACTTACAATTAGTCATTATGGGGCTTGCACATCTCAGACACACAGACCACAGAACAAGAGATACACAGAACAACACCGAAAATTGAAACATGTTGAAACAAAACGAAATACAAACAGAGCGAAACCAAAACAGCGACCCCTATCTGCAAGGTAAAATGTATTTACCTTTTCCTGTTGTTTTGTCTATTTTTAACGAACAAACGTTTTCACCGATAAATAGTTTACAACCCGTCCGTGTACATCATCGATCTCGTAATTCTGTAATTTTGGGCGCTAATCATCTCAATTATGGGAAACTATGGAGAAATAGCTACTAATAATTTAACTCTCATTATTACATGGTTATTTTCTAACTTACACGCTTATGGGGCTTACACAGATCCAGAGCACACAGAATCGACCAGCAGGAAAGTTAGAAACCATAACACAGATAGAACAGAACAACACGAAAATCCAAAACGGCTGTTGAAACGAACGTAAACAAAACAGCGCCGCACCTAACTTTCAAGGGAAAATCGTTTAACCGTTTTAGTTTTTTAAAATCTTTTTTAAGACCGAAGCAAATGGGATTTCAACCGAGTATAGTTTCAACGCCGTCCCGTGTAACTCATCGATTCTTCTGTGAATTTAGGCGCTATGTTGATTCCAAAGCTGACGGAGCCTATTCATTAACATACATACATACAACATTCGCCGAATTAATAGTAAGATATACAATCAATTAATATTATTATTATTATTTATTATTATTATTATTATTATTATTATTATTATGATCACTATCATTATCAATTTCATCCTCAGTCATAATAGTAATTGTACGTTGTGCTGTGCGCTATATATATATTCTAATCCATTATTACGTAATTGGCCGCAAGGACGACTTGACCCGCATTTTATGAAATTATTGGAATCTATAATTTCGTTGGATCTGCCAGAGCCGTAAGCGAAAGAGAAGAAGACAGTGCGAAAGTAACAGCAGAGAGAGAGAGAGAGAGAGAGAGAGAGAGAGAGCGAGAGAGAGAGAGAAATCTACGCTCAGACCGCAATACAGATAATCTACGTGTTTACTTCTCTCTCTCTCTCTCTCTCTCTCTCTCTCTCTCTCTCTTCTCTAACTAGTTAATGTTCTACGATGACCACTGTATAATCAGCGTTTCCCAGCTCTTATTTTTTCTACTTAATCACGTGGAGCGCGCACGACTGCCCCGCCCTCTGGGGAGGGATCTCGAACGAGGGCGTGATAGTGGAGAAATTGAAAAAAGTGCTGCGGCGGAAAATTGAAGGCCTAAATAACGACGAAGCGTCGAATTAGCATAAATTCGAATCGCAAGTCGGACGCGCGCCCCCTGTCCGGAGCTCTAACTACGACGATATTGAGTCAACCCTGATATCCGTCGTTTATTCGGCTTTAAACACGCTGCCTCGATACATTGCGATACTACCTGATACTCTCCGATACACACTGACAGCTTGACCGCTCTGTGCGGACCGACGATTCCGGCCGTATCGACGGCTTGTATCGTCTGCCAGCCGCTCGCATGATCTCTCGCTCGCTAGACAACGCGGGGACCGGAAATTCTTTTTTCCCCGCCCTCACAAAAAACACCCCTTTATTTCCGCAAGCTGCATGGGTCCGATGTATGGACTCATATGCATAATTCATTAGCTCTCTGCACCGACGCGATACGTTCGCGTGCGGCCGTCGCTGGTGCTGCGACGTGTGCGCGCTGGGGGAGGAGGAGAAGGAGGAGTAGGAAGGCAGAGGGGAGGAGGAGGAGGAGGAGGAGGAGGAGGAGGAGGAGGAGAGGAGGAGGAGAGGAGAGGA